GCAATTGTTAAGTAGTTAATGCAACTTTGTGTGACAGATGCGTGCTACTTGGGTACGTACTATGTGTTGCTTGTGAGTTGTGTATCCAGAATCACACCTAGGCTAACTTTTCGGGGTTAACTCGGATTCACATCCGGCCTTGAGCCAAGATGTTCCCTATACTCCAAAGATTCTACATTTAGTTCACGAATAAAATTTACCAACTACAGCGCCTCCTAGAGCCGCGATTGTGAAAGTGACTCGCTCCCCATACAAACTTCAAGCCCTTTGAGCGAGGGGTTCCCGTGAACCAAATGACTTCAAATTTTGGCAGGGTGTTTCTGATCCCTCAAACTACCATTCCAGGGAGTAGCGTTCGAAATTCCAGACTTTTTCTGTTTTCCATATGGAACATCCCTCCCTGTAACTTTGTAACTTTGTCAAAGACACTCAAGTTTTGCAGCATAGTTAGAATTACAAGAACGTATCTCAATTCTAACCATCTCAGATAGCGTTTAACGCTGACCATTTGCTCCGATTACCTCAACATAAGTTGATAAACGGGGTAGATTCAAAGACTTAACCAGACTACGAGAAGTATGGTGAGCCTGGGAACCACAATCCAAAAATGCTCGACAGTATTTCAGATTTCCATCCGAATCCTTAATCTGAACCCTAGCGGTCATCAGCAAATTATGACTCAGACGAGGGGGTTGCTTCAGTGAACACGAGACTGCACTATTGGACTGGGATTCCTTGGAAACAGATTGGTATGGCACATTTGGAACATTCGATTCCAAGCCGGACTGCGAGGCATCAGGAAAAGGTTGAGGCTTCGAAGTTGACTGTGAAACCTCAGAAACAGACTGGGATTCAGCGTTCGAGACATGGGATTTCGAGGTAGACTGGAAAACCGGTTTATCACTATGCAGAAGGGTATGGTGTCTACCCTTTCATTTAGAACACGTATATGAAGATGTACATGAACTACTTAAATGACCCACTTTCAAACCATTAAAACAAGCTTTGATCTCTCTTACCTCTCGCACAGTCAGGTATTCCGAAGTGATACGTTCCGACCTTGTATTCACAACAAATCTTCTGACGTATCCAATCACTCGCTGAAGCTTTCGGAATGAACTAAAGGCACTCATAACTGGAAGGGTTTCAGGGACAAGAACTGCAGTGGACACGGTTTCTAGTTTCAATTCCGGTAATTTATCATCGGAAAGCGGATTAGGCTCATCAATCTGATATCTATGACTTCGCAGAAACGTAGGTCCGTTCCACCAAAGCTCATTCGAAGCAAGAAGTTGGGAGGGTTGACAGCGACTGACAACATCAGCTGGGTTTTCGGACGACTTTGCATCAACAGAATGCTCAACAATTTCTGCAACTCGGTTGCGAACAAAAACGTCAAGTTGACATAGGGGCTTTTTTAGTCATGCAAAAACATCGTGCATCGACTTAAGCAACGTCTTGCGAACGGCTGTGAAGAATTCGCCATTGGAACAGGATACACCAATGAAGGAAAAACCGGAGACGGAACCACCGCAAAAGGTTCAAACCGGCTGAAGACGAGACGCCGGCTGGTCCAGGAGTTTCTCTTACCTTGGCATGGCGTTTCATGACGGACATCGCACTTGCAGTTCGGGTGGGCTCCGGTTCCACACATGTCACAGGACTCCTTTCCGGTGACAGCAAAAGCTTTGGTAGAGATGGTCTTCACTTGGTTCTTGCTTGGTACAGATGGCTTCATAACAGGCGGCTTCACGATCGCATCCTCGCACCACTCCAGGATTGAGCAGAGCTTCTTCAGGAACTCCATCGTGTCCTTGTAGGCGGGAATTTGCTTGTGGGAAACGGTTGATTCCCATTCCATCCGGGTTTTGGCATCCAGAGCTGTTGCCACAAGGTTGACTTTGACTTTGACTTCATCCATGAGCTTCAGTCCATCGATGTGTGGGGATACTTCGTCGACTTATTCCCGAAGATTCTTGGCACTTGTTCAGTTCATTTTCTTCAGGCTAAGCAGCCCCTGGATGTGTGTGTGTGTTCAAGATAAGCCACTTGCTTTCAAAACGTTATTCCAGCAGCTTCGATGCTCCGACATAATTATTCTCGTTCAAGGTGCAAACGTCGATGATTCCAGCGGCATTACCAATCAACGCTTTATCAAGGTGGTAAAGTTTGATGGCGTCGGAATCGGTGGATGTTCTCATGACGTCGAGAAACATGGCCTTGAAACGTGGCCAGTTCTCGGGTTTCCCATCGAAGGTGGGAATGGAAGCCTTGAGTGGTTGCTGCTGTACGATGATTCGAGGAATAACTTCTCGCTGGGACAATGGCATCGCACATAAAGACATGCTCCATATTCATAGGCAGATGCGTCGGCAAAGCCATGAACTTCAACATAAACCTGGGAAATCTGGTTTGGTGAATGTGATTTATAGAATCACGAAATACGGTCCAATTTTGCAACAGCTGGCCATCTAGAACATCATCCCAATTCAGCTTACTCATCCAGATTTGCTGCATTATCACCTTAGCAACTATTATGACAGGTGACACAAGACCAAGGGGATCAAATAGTTTAGAGATCGGCGAGAGAACATTCCGTTTCGTAGGAGGAGAGTTGGAAAGACTTGGAAGTACCACGTGGAAAGAAGTCCAAGTGTCTTGATGGCCTGGTTAATATTCGCATCTTCAAAAGACAAGAACCTTTCCCTGTCTTCTTCTGGAACCGACTCCAAAATCGCTGGGTTATTCGCACACCACTTATGAATGGGGAATCCCCCTTTACGGAAAAGCTCCGTGAGCTCGAGACGACATTGGATGGCACCTTCTATGGATTCAGACCCAGACAGGACATCATCAACATAAAAATCTTCAAGAACGATCTTGGCTGCGAGCGGAAATTGATCACCATCATCAATAGCAAGCTGCTGAAGAGATTCAATCGACCAAAGCTTTTCCATAGAATCAGCAAGACTTTGCAGACCTATAGAGTAACAATGCTGTGAAACATGAGGCTCATCGATAGGAGGATTGGAAGTTCTTCCGCAATTTTGAATTGACCTGGTTGCAATAATTCGAAAAACAACTGAATTCCAATCAGCAAGTCAATTTCACCATGTAACGCTGAAACACTCTGATGCGGAGACTAAGACTATGTTTCATAACTCGAACTTCGAGATCCCAAACATTAAAATTTATTGAACATGTTAAGGCTTTTTTAACTATTTTATTTATCGGACTAGTTTCCGTCCTACATACAATGAGTGGTAGTCCAATGTCATGAACATCATTAGCAATTTGATTTAAAGTAATAAACACAATCATGGACTTTTAAGACTCTGGAGCTTGAAAATATAATTAAGCGACAAATTAAAAAATAGAATTCAACAACTCAATAGAATCAATAGCTTGAGAATTACTTGATTGATGGCCAAATTCCAGGATATTTTCAGGATTTTCCAGGCATTCCGTGATAATTACAGATTTCCCAGGTTTTTCCAGGTACTTGCCAATCTGTTTAAAGTTCAAATATGTGTTTCAAAGTTCATTAGGCTTCTTTGAAGTATCTTGAATTCCTTTCAAGGCAACGCTTGGATTTCAATGGACTTCCCTGAAATTCTACTGAACAACTCTGAGGTGTTTTAACTTAACTACTCTAAAGTTTCTTGAGCTACTCTGTAGTCCACTAAATATTTCTGAAGTTAGCAGAACTTCTAATATGAAAGTTTTCCTGGCCTGATCTGAGATTTCCTAGATCGTCCAACTTTTTAAAAGCTCCATCAGCTTCTCAGAAAATACAATTTGGAACTTTTGCATATAGGATAAAATGGTGAGGATTGTGAAAAAAAAAAGATGTTGTATCCAAGACATGATCGTAGATTTGACGTGCTCGGTATCAATATTCGGCGACTGTGTTAGGGAAATCATTTTTTCCCATTAGGCAATCGAATGAAGTGTGAAAATTTATAAAGTGTTCATTTTAGCAGATTCGTAGAAAAATTTCCAATCGAATGGCTTGTTTAGAATTAAAATCCATCCACTATTGACAGAATTATAATTGGTCAAAACCTTACCACTTTTCGTAACGCGGTTGATTTGGGTTTTTTGAAATTGCTCCCTCAATATGTTGCCGAAAGACGTAATCCTACGTCAAAACTGAGGTGATGGTTGACACTTCTATTGGTTGGGGCAGTCGTAAAATTCTTCCTGTACGCGATGTTGATTTCCTAAAGGTATGCTTGCGGTATAAAAACACCACCAGGTTTGCTAAAGTTGAAAAAGAAAAATGGGGTAGCATTCTCCTATCTGCAGTTTGTATCAATATACCAATTCAACTGAAAAAAAAAAATTCAAACATATCCTTGCTACAGCTCCGTCTATCCTCAAGAAAACGGGTTTCTCTCGGTCCGAGTCTCTCAAAACAACGGAACCTTCCTGCGAGACGTGTTGAAACGATTTATTGCCTACACCAGCATAGCTCTAAAGCTAGTGAAAAAAAAGGCAAGTCAATAAACTGTTTCGCACAGTACGGTCGTCCATATACCTATAACATACCCAGTATGTCAGCTGTTTCTCATTTTTTTTCAACGTCAATGATATTACGATGATAAATTAACATCAAGCGCCGATGATTGCGAGCCGCTTCAATGCCAACTGACGACCGCGATCGGCAAGCTGCCAAAAGGTGTGGCGTCCCACCATCGCTTTACAGTTGTTCGAAATACATACCTATAAATATAAAAGGATTAGACAACAGCTTCGTTGTGTTTAGAAAATCCAAACAAAACGGACAAGCATTTACTGGGTTACTGTTTCACTTTCGTCGGCCTTGAACTCGGCCGCTCACGTTCAATGTCAGCTACTGACTTTCTGGTTGATCGCATTCGCTCGTGTTTGGCAGGGTTCATCGCTTGCCCGGTTGAACGGGCGGTGAAATCTTTTGAATGTTTTTCCTTTCCTAACGAATTTCACAAAACTTGAACGTATTTTTAACTCCTTTCCAGATGACAACCGAGGCCTGGTCAAGACCAACTACAACACGCTGAACTCGACGGCAAACCGACTTGCGGCGACCGCCCTCGACGAGATCGTAAATCGTCACAAGTCGCAACCGAATCGCGACGGAGATTACATCATTGCAGTTTGCATGCAGCCAACCGATCGGCTGGTGACGACCTTGCTCGCGATTTGGAAAGCCGGTGCCGCCTATCTCCCACTGGATCCAAGCTTCCCTCCGAATCGATTCGAGCACATTTTGGACGAGGCCCGCCCGGTGTTGGTGATCCACGAGGACTACGAGAATGTGGCCGTATTCGGCGAAACTCCGGCGGTGTCCTTCGCTGACCTCCGGAAAAAGGCTAGCGACATGAGCAATGCCAACATTCTCCCCGATCAGATGCTGGGTGCTGGCAAAAACGAATTGGCTCTGGTTCTCTACACCTCCGGAAGCACAGGCGTTCCCAAAGGTAATTACATAAGAAAACTAATTACCGATGTATCGTCATCGTTGCCGTCACCGCCGGCGGTGATTGATCGCTTTCATATGCAAATAAGCGGCAACTGAGTTGCAACGGTCAGAACAATGGCCTATTTTTCATTCTCCCATTAGCTGCATGTGGTGGTTCGATTCGATTCACGTTTCGCAACCGCTGCAATTATCTAGTTGAACAGCACAATTAATTACTCTCCCCCATCGTTTCAGGTGTCCGGCTGAACCACGCCACGATCCTCAACCGGCTGCAGTGGCAGTGGAATCGCTTTCCCTACTGGAAAACGGAAACGGTTGGCGTGTTCAAAACAGCACTAACCTTCGTCGATTCCGTTACGGAAATCTGGGGCCCTCTGCTGAACGGTATGTCCATCGTTGTCGTGCCGAAAAAGATCACCAACAATCCGGAAAGACTCGTCGAACTGCTGGAGGAGTACAAAATCGAACGGTTGGTCCTGGTCCCAACTCTGCTGCGATCCTTGCTCCTGTATCTACCTCTACAGAAGAAGAAACTACTTTACAATCTCCGCATCTGGGTTTGCTCCGGAGAACCTCTACAGCTGTCCTTGGCCAAAGAATTCTTCGACTACTTCGAAGAAGGTGTGCACCAACTGTGCAACTTCTACGGTTCGACCGAAGTCATGGGTGATGTTACGTACTTCGTGTGCGAATCCAAGAAGCAACTGAGCAACTTCGAAAAAGTTCCTATTGGTTATCCCCTGGACAACACTGTGATATACATCCTGAATCCAGAACTCCAACCGGTCAAACCGGGTGACATAGGAGAGCTGTTCGTTTCCGGCCTAAACCTAGCCCAGGGCTACGTCGGCGGTCGCGATCCTCACCGATTCATCGACAACCCACTAGCCGTAGATCCCATCTACTCAAGGCTCTACAGCACGGGCGACTATTCCTCCGCCACCAAGGGCTGTATCTACTACGAAGGGCGTACCGATTCTCAGATCAAGATTCGCGGCCATCGGGTCGATCTATCGGAGGTCGAAAAGAATCTTCTATCGCTTCCCGGGGTAGACAAAGGCATTGTGCTGTGCTACCACGCTGGAGAAATCGACCAAGCCTTACTCGGATTCATTACGGTTGAGGAAGACGCCCCTCTACAGACTGGACTGCAGATCGAAGGTATTCTGGAAAGCAAACTGCCGCACTACATGATCCCACAGGTCATCATTCTGGACAGCATTCCGCTGTTGGTGAACGGGAAAATCGATCGACAAAGTCTGATGAAAATGTACGAGAATACCAACAACAACGGTAAGTATTGATGCATATTAACCTCCGTCCAAATTGTAACGCATTTTAATTTCCCCCAGACGATGCCACCATCGAGATCGAATACGACTACAACGGTGTGCCGGAATGCAAGATGGCCATGGCCAAAGATCTCTTCACCACCGTGGGTCAGGTCATCGGACGTTCCACACGTGCCAAGATCTCACTGCAGAGCAACTTCTACGAGTTGGGAGGAAATTCCCTGAACTCCATCATCACCGTGACACAACTCTGCCAGAAAGGTCACGCCATCAGTATTACCAGTTTCATCGGTGCGGAAAACCTGGCAGAGATTTTGGATAAAATGTACAGTAATCAGCAGCACATTGCCGACCACCAGCAAGACACAAAGGATGATCAAGAATTTGAATTCGAGTACAAGATGCAACTTTCGGCACACCCACTGGCCGACGAGCACAAAGAGGACGCGATCAAGTAAGGTCCATTTTGCATTTCCAAAAAAACCTCAAGTTTAAAATTCCTTAACTTTTCATTTCAGCATCCTAACCTACAGCTTCTACGAGAAAGCGGATCTCGAGAGGTGGATCAAACCGCTGATCAGGGAGCAGGACTACCGGGACATTCTCGAAGACATTTGGGACGTTCTGATCGAGAAGCAACTAAGTTTTATGGTCAAGGACGCCAGTGGCAAATCGGTCAGTGTTTCGCTCAACTTCGACGCTCACGATGAACCTGAACCGGAGGTGACCAACAATCTGGTGATTATCTTCGAGTTCCTAGAATATGTAGAAAAGCCTATTCGGTAAGTCCGTCCGCAATTTGAACCAACCAACAACTTCTAACTGAAAATTCCTTTCGCAGAGAGCAAAAACTACCCCGCGGCAAGAACCAAATCCTGCACTCGTTCATGATGGGCACCTGTGCCGATCTGTCCGCTCAGGAAAACATCGAGGCTATGCACTTTATGGAGAATGAGGTGCTCAAGATCGCTACGCGGCGGAACTTTACCGGCATTCTGACGACCAACACCAGCCCCCTGACCCAGCAGCTCGGTTCCAATGTGTACAAGTACGAAACCATGCTGGACTACCAGATCAATCAGTACGTGTACGGTGACGGTAGTCGGCCTTTTGGCAAGGCTGCCGACGATCAGCGGGTGATCGTGCACTGGAAGGACATCCGGAAGCAGCACTGAGGAGCAGCAGACGAGGGAAAGGGCTATTGGCATAATTAGTAGTGTTCTAGGTACATATTTATCGCTGCAATATATCGTCTAAATGTTAATTTAATGGTTAGAATAGGGCAAGGACCCCTGCAACAGTATGTCGAAATGTAACCAATTGTAGACTAGGGAAGTGTACTGAATTTGCTGCAAGAATTTATATACGAGTTAGTTGTAGCATTGAATGGAAGTGATACGTAATTATTAGAATGATCGTACAAAATGGAGGTTTTAAACAAGCGAGAGAGGAAAATGTGAGAGGATATAGTTTTTAAGTTATCTGTTTCTTAACTACAAAGAAACTACTATTTATGACAATAAAACGAATTTTATCTCATTCCTACAATTCAATAAGTATACTCTATATAAGACTATTCCGCAAGTTGATCGTTTCCAGTCGAGTTTTTGGCTTTGCTGGATAAATGTTGGTACACAAAACTCGAGGGTATCCAGACAAAAACCAATGCATCGGCAGAACTTCGGGGGTTGATCCCAAGTGCAGTAGTGACCGTTTTATCTTTTTGAGCACGATATACCGTGAGTTCAATAAAAAAACTTGAGTATCATCAACAATCAATACGAAACTAACGATTTTAAATTGGCTCACTACTTGACTAGCCTATTGGTCCCAAGCAAATCGATTAACGTACCCCATTCCAGTCGAAATTCTAGTACCACACTATGTTTGTTTTGATTCGCTATGAAAGTTTGACAGATAAAATGAGGGGTTATTGGATTTTCCTATGTTTCGAGGGGTGATTCGACTAGCTTGGGACCGAAGATAGTACCAGAGCTGAGCCAAAAAGTTGAGCACGTTTCTTCGGGACCTACTTGTCTTAGAGTTACCTCTATGGTATCATCGTTTGGTGTTTTGAAAGAACTAGGTCGGATGGGTGCGGAACAAATATTGGTTTCACGTTTAAATATGACGAATACCTGATCTGGATTCGAAAAAAAATAGTAAATCGACATGATTTTTTGTGATACAAGGGGCTCGGTGACCTAATTATACCCGTGTTTGCATACTGAGCAGAAGAGCATTTATATCACTCTGTTATAACTTTTTTCGCCGTGAGCGAATTTTAGTCAAAACCATCTCTTGGTTGGCCGTGATGTGAACGTCGCACAAATCTCGAAAATGTTTGTTACTTCTGTCCACGAGAAACAAGAAATATAATTCTAAATAATGGCACTGACCGGCTGGACAACCTCGGAACTCAACCCGAATAAGCAGCTTTCGACGTCAATCCACAAAGCAGCAAATTTACGGCATCGGCGGAATTGAAAAAAAGAATGATGAGGACGTCGCAAACAACCGGAGGCTGATCGAAAGAAATAAAACAGAAAGGCGTTGAGGGGAACCTTGAAAATGGTAGAGGAAAACGAGCGAAAACAGTTCCTAGACGGAGCTGGAAGTGACTGCAAAGGCAAACGACTTTAGGTCGATGGCTGTATTTCATGAGAACCTGGTGAGCAGTGTAAGCACAGAGAACAGACGTTGAGGATCGAACAAAATTTCTCTAAAAACTAGTGTAAAAAGTCATATTCGACAACGTCGACTTAAAACCCCTATTTGACAACATGATGCCACCGAGGGACACGATGCAGGAAATATTGTGTTTTGCTGTGGCTAGCTGCACGTACGCTGAGTAGATAGAAAGAAGATTTATCACGATTTTGAAGATTTCCTGCAAAAAGATGATGCGCGCGAAATTAAAGAAGATTTTTCGAAGATTTATTCGCTAGTGTGAGATTTTTTGATCATCTAGAATTAAGATTTAGATGTGTCGCTCCCCTCGGATGCCACTGGCTTTGCACAACTTACACTAGGCACTAAGTGCCGCTAGCGCCGGGTGGCAATTTTCAACAGTAATTTAATCGACACTAACGCCAAATTGGTTGAAAGTGGAAAATTTATAGAGGAAACCAGGTGATACTAGCGCCACATAATGGCGATATTCCCACTTATCTTTACACACGTTTCTGACGGAAACTAGACGTCTGTTCTCTGTGGTGAAAATAGAAGGGAGCAGCATTAGAAGGATATCGGTGCGGAGCTTTGGATGCAGGTGAGTAAACAACCAGGAAATGGTTCGGGTAAGTAAAGCTCTTGCAAACCGCTGGAACTGATGCAGTGTTCGATTAGCATAACGACAGGATCTTCGCCGTCATTGTAAGCGGCGTCCGTGTCATCATCTATATGTAAATTGGAGCTTGCCTACTTGTACTTGGCGCTACCAGCACTTAGTGTTTTTTTTTTTTTAATCTTTATTTAAGAGCTAGTTCATCTCTTAAGCACTTAGTGTAAGTTGTACAACGCCAGCGCCTCCAGGTTGTCAGGCATTGCACAATCTACACTAGACACTAAGTGCCGGTAGCGCCAAGTGGTAATTTTCAACAGAAAATTTATCGATACCAGCGCCAAATTGGTCGAAAGTGGAAAATTTATAGAGGAAATCAGGAGATGCTAGCGCCACGTAACGGCGACGTTCCCACTTACCTTTACACAAGTTTCTGGTGGAAGTTGGACGTTTTTTCTCTGTGGTATTAGCAACCTGTGGAAACTAACGATTTAAAATTGGCTCACTACTTGACTAGCCTATAGGTCCCAAGCAAACGGTTTACGTATCCCATTCTAGTCGAAATTCTAGTACTACGCAATGTTTGTTTTGATTCGCTATGAAAGTTTGACAGATAAAATGAGGGGTTCGTGGATTTTCCTATGTTCAGAGGGTTGCATCGATCAGCTTGGGACCGAAGCTAGTACCAGAGCTGAGCCAAAAAGTTGAGCACGTTTCTTCGGGACCTACTAGTCTTAGAGTTATCTCTATGGTATTAGGTGCTTGAAATCATCATCCTCGTGGAATGTTTATTTTGTTAAGATTTATAATACTGTTCCAGTGGTTATGATCGTCCGGGTTTTTAATGTGTGGTTATTTGAGCTGTGAATCAGTGCTTTAGCTCGTGCTTCAGTTCAGTTCAGATCTACAGGGGATACTCAAAATAATTAGGATAGGACAATTTTTGGTTAATTTTGGAGTGTAACCTCGTCAAATATGGTCCAATTTTAATTCATCCAAAAGCATTCGATTGGTGTAGCCACAAAATAAACCATGGCCACCGAATACCGGAAATATTGCGGGTTCCCGGAGAGTTTTTTTTTTAATATTTTCAATAAGTTTTTACAGAAATTTAGTTCGAGCCTCAACGTCTGTTCTCTGTTGTGTTAGCTAACGTTGACGTTAACGTTGAGGCTCGAACTAAATTCGAAACATACATATAGGATTTCCAGTGAAAACTAGACCTGTGCGCCGCTACGCCACACCGCCACCGCCGACGATTTTCATACGCCGCCGCCGCCGATGAAATTGAGCCGGCGCGCCGCCGCAGTAAAATCTTTAACGCCGCCGAATAAATTTATGTCACGCCGATGAAAAATCCACAGCACTTTTTCAGTAAAATGGATCTTCAACGCGTTGAAATTAGAACTTGTGTGTAATGCAGCGATTGTAATTTAGTTTTTTGATGTTTTTTCGCACTTTCTCGATCTAGCACGCAGGAATGAATCATTCGGATCAGATTTAAATAGCGGTGAATAAGTGACTATTATTAACAACACGTTGATATTTGACCTCTTACAGGTCCAAGTTGTGCGGGATTCTACATTATATCCGAAATACATCATCTTCAAATACATAAACAAAAAAATATATGACTGCAATGCGTGTACATTCAAATATGTATCAGAGTAATACAAGCATATCATTTATCGCCATCAAAATATTAATAACGTGTAATGCTCAATAAATGAAAGAATTCCTAGGGTCCATTAAAATGTTACGTAAAGCAACAGATTGCTTTTAAATACTATCCACTCCTACATAACGTACTTTTCTTATAATTAATAAAAGGGTTGTAACACTTTGCCATAAAGGGTGTCCACGATGAAATTGCCACACTATGAAATTGCTCTAACTTTTTAACCGTTGGGTAGAATTTAATGAAAATTTGGGTGGATTTAGTTCATAGTGCATTATTTACATCCTGCAAGTTTTAAAGTCCTGTGATCAAAACTCGCGGAAATGGAGTCGAAAGAACAGCTCGTGCGTGATAAAATCTTGCGCATTCATCACGAGAACAAGGATCTCTCGCATCGTTCCATCGCTAAAACGTTAGGAATCGCGAATTCCACGGTGTCGCGAGTGATTAAGCGGTTCAAGGAACGGTTGACCACCGATCGGAAGCCCAGAAGTGAAGGAAAAAGTATTCCGTACAACACCAAAAATCACAACCGCGTAGTTGGGGCCTTCAACCGAAATCCGAACGCCTCCGTTAGGGATGTGGCTAAGAAGCTGCACCTAAGCCGAAGTTTTGTCCAGAAGGCCAAAACTAAGGCTGGGCTTCGAACGTTCAAGGTACAAAAGGCCCCTAATCGCGACGAGAAGCAGAACAAGTCCGCCAAAACCCGTGCCAGGAAGTTGTACCTCAACATGCTGACGAAAGTTGAATGCTGCATCATGGATGACGAAACATATGTGAAGGCCGACTTCAAACAGATCCCCGGCAACCTGTTTTTCACGGCCAAGGATAAGTTCAGGGTTCCGGAGCATGTCCGCACTCAGAAGATGTCCAAATTTGCGAAGAAATTCCTGGTTTGGCAAAGCCATCTGCACGTGCGGGAAGCGGAGTGCACCTTTCGTGACCCAGGACACGATGAACGGACAGGTGAACATAAAAGAGTGCCTCCAGAAGCGGCTGCTTCCTCTCCTGAAGGCCCACAACGTCCCAACAATCTTCTGGCCGGATTTGGCCTCATGCCACTACTCCAAGGACGTGCTGAAGTGATATGCGGACAATAAGGTCAATTTCGTGCCGAAAATGTTCAACCCTCCCAACACTCCGGAGCTCCACCCCATCGAGAAGTACTGGGCGATTATGAAGCAGCACCTTCTTAAACGACCTAAGGTAGTGAAGACAGTCGAGGAACTGAAGAAAGTATGGGTTTACATGCAAAAAACGGTTGATTCACAGGTTGTGCAGAATCTTATGGCCGGGGTTAAGGCCAAGGTGCGAGCATTTGCGTATGGACTGTAAATAAAATACGAGTAAAATGGTAAAATGAAGTTTAATAGTTATTTCTCAATCCCTGAAAATTTGATGGCAATCGGATGAAAACTCGATTTTTGCGAATCAATTTTGTGTGTGGCAATTTCATCGTGGACACCCTTTACGACTCCGACCCCTATAATTTTAACAAGCACTTGACATACGGGGATTGTTTTTTTAATTATCGGAAAAATTTCGCCGAAGGGTCTTCGATTTCTATGAAACTTCGCCCATAGGTAG